GTGTCGGACGACTCGCTGGCCACGATCCGGTCCGCGCTCGCCGCCAACCAGATCCCCGTCCTGGCGCCGTTTGCCATCTACGAAAACGACGCCGAGGGCACGCTCGACACGCTGTGCATCAAGGCCGACGACATGATGGTCGCCCTCGCCCGCGACATGGTCGTCGCCGCCCGCCGCGCCGACGCCGAGCGCGACCAGGCCTACTACGCCCAGGGCGACGGCGCGGGGTCCGGCGAGGCTGCAGCGGCCTCTTCTGCGTCGCCGTCGTCGCCGTCGCCGCCATCGCCGCCATCGCCGCCGTCGTCGTCTTCGACGACGACTCAGCCGCCGCCCCCACCACCACCGCTGTACGGCCTCGGGGGCGAGGTGGACCTGATGCCCCTGCGGCTGATGGTCATCAACCGCGAGGGCGGCATCCCGTCGCACGCGCGCGGCGGCGACCCGCACCTGTCCATCAACCTGGCCAGCGAGTACCACCAGATCCGCAGCTCGTTTATCTGGTCGCACAGCCACCCGACGGCGCTGCGCAACCTCGACGCCATCTCCGACTGCCTGAGCTACATGCCCAAGACGTCGTCGGGCGTGCTCGTGACGCACCGCTCGCCGCGCAGCCTGATCGCCAACCTCATCACCAACAAGGCGGCCCACAGCCCCTCGCTGCCGCACCGCCTGCTGGCCAACAAAAAGGACGTCCGCCACACGCCCACCATCATCCGGCCCGGCCTGCCGATCCGCGTCATCGAGTCGCTCGACGGCGTCGACCGCCACCGCCTGGCGGCGCTCCTCGAGGCCTCGTTCCGTCGCCGCCTCGACGGCGACGCCTACTTTGCCCGCCTCGCCCAGCGGCTCGACTTTGTCATCGTCACGGGCGACTACCAGGGCGCCGCCATCGTCACGCGCGAGTTTGCGCCCGACGACGACCCGGCCACCGCCGAGCCCATCGCCTACCTCGACAAGTTTGCCGTGCTGCCCGAGATGCAGGGCAGCGGCACCGTCGACTTTCTCTGGGGCGCCCTCCGCGACGAGGTCCAGGGCCTCGGCCTGCTCGACGCCCTCAACGACAACGGCGGCAAGGGCGGCTACGGACGCGGCCGCGACCTCGTCTGGAAGAGCCGCAGCAACAACCCGGTCAACAAGTGGTACTACGAGCGCAGCAACGGCTTCGTCCGCATCGACACCGACCCCGCCGCCCGCGCCGCCACGGCCGAAAAGGCCGACCGCGGCGAGGTGGCCACGCCCGCCTGGCAGCTGTTTTGGTGCGACGCAGAGGACAAGCTCGCCCGCCTCAGCGGAGAGCGCAGGCTCGTCGCGGGGCCCAGCCGACAGCT